CCTGTCTCATGTCCCTGCTGTGTCCCTGTCCCACGTCCYTCCCCTCTGTCCCTGTCCCCCATCCCTGCTCTGCATCCCTACTCTATGTCCCTGCCCTGTGTCCCTGCTCCATGTCCCTGCTCTGCATTCCTGCTGTGTCCCTGTCCCGTGTCCCTGAGCCACGTCCCTCCCCTGTTTTCTCCCCAGCCACATACCAGCCCTGCTCCTGCCATCTCCCAAACCACGCAGCAAATCCCCCTGGCCTCGGGGCATCCCAGGACCGGCAYGGCCACCTCCTGCTCGCCCAGCACCTCCTGTGTGCCTCCTGCCCAGCCCGGTGTTGCCCGGGGGGGCAGCCTGACCTTTGAGGCTTTTTTTTCCTCCGTAGTAACTTTTTCCCTTGAAAGCAGTTTGGGAATTTCCTCCGTTTCCTTCCCTCCCTCCTGCCGGATGGACGCTCCCTGCTGGGTGGGATGTGCCCGGTCCAGCTTCATCCCACGGGTCCCCCCTGCATGAAACCTTCCCCTCCGTGGGCTCCAGTGGTCAGCCCAGGGGTCTGGCCAGGACTCCCCAGCGCAGGTTTGGGGCTGGGGACTGACAACTTGGTTAGGAAATGAGGAAATTCCCTCAAGGAATTGCTAGGATGAGGGATCAACCCCCAGGCAAAGCCCCCTCCCATCCCAGGAAATGATTTTCCCTAAAATTCAGGAAGGGGTTCTGCAAAACAGAGGTGGCCAGCAGGGTGTTGTGTGCCCCCCAGACTACGGGATCCCCTGTGTCCCCCTGAGCACGGAGAGCTGTTAGGGAGCCAGCAGACCACCCAGCCCCATTCTGGTGGTTTGGGGGGCCAGGGGCCGTGCCCGGCACCCTGCAGGGTTTGGGGAGCCCTGTCAGGCGGCGGGCACGCCCGCGCTGTAAACAGGAAAACGGGCTGATGAAAATAGCTCGCGGCAGGAAGCCGCGTTATCCTGGCCCCGAGCTGCAGCAGCCACCCCGCAGCACCCACCACCCTGAGGGTCCTGGAGCCCTCCGGACCGGGCTGAGACCCCCACCCAGGATGTGAGCCCATCCCGGAGGCGCTGTGAGGGTGTTTGTCACCGGGCTGGCACCCACCATCGCRCAGCACCACGTCCCGCAGGTTCTCCAGGGCGTCGGCGAAGCGGGCAACGTCGGCCAGCAGCTGGGCGATGTCCTCGGGGTCGATGAAGGGACCGTCCCCGCCCTCCATGGGGCTGTAGGCCATGGGGGTTTTGTGTCCCTTGTGCCCRGCGCGGGGGGCAGCGGGCAGGGGGAGGCCGGCGGCGCTGGCATGGCGGCTCAGGCTGGTGGGGCGCTTCAGGGTGCCCGCGGCGCTGGGGCTGCTGCTCAGCTTGGCCCCGGCCGAGGGCAGCTCCCCCTGGCCAGAGCCCGATGCCTCCACGCCATCCTTGCGGGAGAGGTCCTGGGGAGCGAGAGTGAGTGAGTGTGAGGGCACGGACAGAACAGGGGGGATCCCAGAGAGGGAAACACCCTAGGACCCCACTGTGTCACCTCTTTCCTTGAGGGACTGATGCCAGTTTCCCCATGTAGAAATCTCTTTGGGGACTGTTTTGAGATGCCACAGGGTGAAGGCAGAGTGGGCAGGGTCTGGGCACTTGCCTGGCTGCCCCCACTAGCCCCTGCCAGCCCCTCTGGGTCCACACAGTGGCCATGTGGGTGACGCTTGCCCATCCCAGCACCCACGGGTGATGGGTTTGCCCACCACAGCCAAACTGCAGCAGGCTTCCGCCCACTCGTCTCTTCCTCTTTTCAGCTGTTCCTATGCTGGAGGAGGTAGCAGAGACAGGGACACCTCCCAGGCTGTTGTTGGGGGCTTTGCAGGTATTTTACACATAGAGGAAGCCCCAAATTTCAAGGGGTAAAATTGCCCCGAGGGAGCGGCTGGTACCGGCCCTGTCCAGGACCGTGCATGGCTCGAGGGCCACCCAACCAGASAGTCCTTGGGCACGGGGAGGGGACCCTGCAGCCCCTCAGCCCCGCCACCAGCTCCCACCCGTGAGCCCCCGACAGCCAGTGTGACACGAACACGCGGGGTTTGAGCATCCCCGGCCGGGCCGGGCGTTGCCGGAAGTGTTTTTGGCACCGGCGRGGCAGGCACAGAGCACCGAGAGCACGAGGCTTCCGCGGGCGAGGGCGAACGGGACAGCCCAGCCCACCACGGGGCTGCGAGGARCCACCAACCCCAAAATTCCTGGGTCCACCCCAGCGCTGTCTCGGTCCTCCCGGCGCCCCCCGTCCCTCCCCCCGGCCGTACCGTCAGCCTCACGGCGGGCGTGCGGGGCAGCGAGTCCAGGGAGCGCTGGGGCGGGTGGGCTCTGCCCGCCGCCGCCGAGGGGCTGTAGCTTTTCCTGCCCGCAGCCCGGCCGAGCATCCCGCTGGTTGCCACCCATAGGCCCCTCTCCCGGCGGGTCGGGACCGGGGATGGGGACGGGGTGTCSCCGTTTAAGGAGCCGCGGGTGAGCTCCGGGTCACCGTCGGCCGCATCGTGCCAGCCCGGTGTCGCTCCACGCACCGGGACTGGGGCGCAGGCGCGGGGCGGGGGGCGTGGGGTGCGCCAGGGGAGCCCCGGCCTTTAGCGTTTCCTCCTGACCCCTCCGGTACCGGGGGAGGGGGAGGTCCACACGTCAATAAATAAATATCTGGTAGAGCCGAGGCACCGGGGCTGTCCGAGCACGCTGTTCTCCCCGCTCCCACTCCGGTCCTCAAGTAGGTTTGGGATTCTGCTTGCCCTCCCCGCACCCTCGGCCACAGGCCCCCCCATTTCCTCCCTGTCCCTTCCTGCCCTCCCGCCTCCTTCGGCGGTTGCTCCGTCCCCTTCATCTGGGGCAAAATTCCCCCTCTCAGCCCAATGAGTAGGGTCTTTCCTCGTTTCCCTCCTCCTCGCAGACCTCCTGGACGTATCCAGGTCCCCACCGTCACCCTGTGGCTCTTCCCAGCAGTTCCGTGGGTGCTGTTGCCCCTAAAACCCCCACCGTGCCAGGGTTAGGAGRGGACACACTCACCGGCAGCGTCTGTGGGACGGGGCTTCCCGCCCGGCTCTTYTTGGAGATGGAGGGGGTTTTTATCAGCTCCCGCTTCTTCCGGGAGAACATCGTTGCCGGGGGGCCGAGCCGCTGSCCTCAAGCCCCTCGCTCGGCCCCGCCGCCGTGCCCGTTCCTCACGGCGCCGGGCGCATTCGCGGGGCGCAGTGTCAGGAGGGCGCGTGTGACGCCGCCTCGTTTCCTCATCGGCTTCGCAGCCAGACCCGAAACAGGAAAAGAAAAGAAAAGCTAAACGCGCACCCAGGCGGGGGCCAGGGGCGCCCTGGCTGCCCTGCGGGGTCCCAGGGGGCAGGGGGATGCTGGCATTTCTGGGGAGATTTCAGGGGGGTTGAGTGGCACAGCTCACGGATTACAGAGGGATGGGGGGCTGAGCCCCACTCTGTGGGACCGGCATGGCCTCCTCCCTCTGGGGTGTTCACCCTGTTTGGGGGTGTCCATCTGTGCAGGGAGGACAAACCCCATCCCTCTGGAGGTGTGGGGTGAGTGGGAAGGGGGTGAATGGGATGGGGGTGAGTGGGATGGGGGGCTTTGCGCTCCCGCCCGTGGGATGCTCCCGGCTCTGCCCTTGTGTGGGCTCAGTGGTGGTGCCGTGACCGCCCCGCCGGGGTCACTGCCCTGCCCCTCACCCCCTCTCGCCTCTGTGCACCCACCCGTGGCTCTCCCACCCGTGGGGCATGGCGACCTCACAGCGGGAATACCGAGGGGACGGTGATAAACCCGGTGTGAGGGCCGGGACGGGCCCTGCDTGGCGACCCCCGAGAGGTGTTCGAGTGGGGTTTTATGTCCTCCCTCAACCTCGTCCCGGAATCTCCCCGCGGGACTCGCGTGGAACTTATGCCGGCCCCGTGGGTGCAGGGGCTGGGCGGGGGTCGGGGTGAGGGGTGCGGGATGGGGGTGGGTGGAGATCTCTGAGGCGCGGGGAGGGAGCGCGCACGCGTGTCCTGTGTGTGCGTGACCGTGAGTG